AGAATTTGCAATTAAATACTACTAACATCTTGAGAAGTAAATATCACCTTCTTTCATAATATTCCTGAAGTGAAATTTCATGATTTATGAAGTTATTTGCTCATTTAAAATTAGTTCAGTTTTCTCTGCATATACAGATAAGCTTGTATGCCAAGTGTGTTCTTCAGTAACCGTCCTTCCTATGATAAACAGCATGCTATAGTTTGGAAATAAATTATTTTAAACTCCCTCAGTACATACTCCCTTTTTTTCCTGCATTTAAAAATGTATGATATGTTGGATTTCAAAGATAAAATCAGAGAAAAACAGCACTGCCCAAATAAGAAGGCATTTAAAAGATAACCTTTTTAAGCCAGGCATGATGGCTCACACCTGTAATTCCAGCACTTTGAGAGGCCAAGACGGGCAGATCACAAGGTCTGGAGTTTGAGACCAGCCTGACCAACATGGTAAAACCCCATCTCTACTAAAAATACAAAAATTAGCCGGGTGTACTGGTGTGCATCTGAATCCCAGCTACTCATGAGGCTGAGGCAGGGGAATTGCTTGAACCTAGTTGATGGAGGTTGCAGTGAGCTGAGATCACGCCACTGCACTCCAGCCTGGGTGACAGAGGGAGACTCCATCTCAAAAAAAAAAAAAAAAAAAAAAATCCTTTTTATGTAAGTATAGTGAATTTTTAATAATAGCGAAGTATTTGAAAATACTGCACCTAATCTAATAAATGGTCATTCAATAGGTTGAAATTATTGTAAATGTTCAGTAATTTTATGGTTGTAGACAAAATTATAGAAAATAATAAGTTTAGAAATGATTAGTTTACATCATTTGCATTAAGAAATTTTTCAAAAAGGTTTTGTCACTATGAAGTTGTTCTAGTTTGTCATCTGTAAGCTTAGTAAGCCTTGCATCACTGAGGCCCTCCTACTAGGTGCTTACTTAAGCTTCTTTTTTTTAAAAAAGGTATCTCTTCTTCACCCAAAAGAAACATTCTAAGGCTCCATGAACTTTAATGAGCCCTCACACTATGCTTAGCTTCTAGTTATGTGCAAATTCTAATATACAGTTAGAATTTTCATGCCTCTGTTTCATTGTGTCAGGGACCTTGTTCACATAATGTTTGTTCCTATAAGACATAAACATATGTTATTAACTACAGTTAAATCTGGTAACAGTACCAAGTGTATGCCGGTTGTAAATGGTGGTAAGTGAGAACATTAACCAGTCAACAAAATTTCAGATAGATATCAAACACTGTGGGTGAAAACTGCATTTGTGAATAAACAAGCCCCATGTGTTTGTCTTTTTTAAGTTGATTACAGGTAATCATTTCTGTTCAAACTTGAGATATGTGTTCAGTTGAAACATAATCACAGTTAAAACATTATTACATTGGCAAGGGAAGAATTCTTAGCTTGCACAAAATTTTACATAAAAGCTGACATCATAGTTTCATGAGCTTATCATATTACCAAATATGCTTAATGAAAATGATTTTGTATATGCATTAATTTCTGTATATGTAGATATGTAGATGTACAGTCATGTAGCACATAATGATGGTTCAGTCAAAGAAGGATGCATATATGACAGTAGTCCCATAAGATTATAATACTGTATTTTACTGTATCTTTTCTACATTTGGATATACAAAATACAATTGTGTTACAGTTGCCTGTAGTATTGAATATAAACATGCTGTATAGGTTTGTAGCCTAGGCGCACTATGACTGTATCATAGCCTGGGTATGTAGTAGGCTATACCATGTAGGTTTGTGTAAGCACACTCTATAATACACAATAATGAAATCACTCCCATCTTGCTTTTTATATTAGATAGTTTGCAACTTAATAGTATCTTAAATTTTAAAATATTTATTGTAAAATAGTTTACCATAAGTGATTAAATGGTGCTTATGAGTTTATTCATTATATTTTATAAGTATCTTTTATTTCACTGTAATTTGTGAAAATATTTTGTATGATGGAATGAACAAAAAATACTGCATTTGTTTTTGTTCCTACAAAGAAACTCTTCATTATTTTCTGTCTAAAACAAAGATCCAGCTATAATTGTGACAGTACCTGGGCACCTAAAAGAGGGAATACTTTTACTATCCTTAATCAGTCTTACCTGGTTATTGATTAGATGAAAATATGGGTGTATTAGTTGTAGAAGAGTCTTGTAACTGGTGGTTGCATAAATGAAAAAGAAAGAGTTCTCATTAGAACCCTTCATTAATTGCACTAAAAGGCAGAATATTTGACTGCGGCATGGTAATGAGAAGTATGGGAGAAGTAGAGGGGATACTCTTAGCTTCTTTCAAGGTTCACCAAAGTCTGCTATTTATTATAATACTATATGTCAAATGAGTCCTTATAGCATGTTGCCATTTGCCTGAGACATAGCTGCTTAAGCAGGATAGTTGAGTATAAATTTCTCTTTTTAAATGAGGCTGTTTAAATGCAATAATACATAATAAAACTATAACCAAGGAAAGTCCAAAAAGCCAAAAATATTTAAAATATATGATACAAATATAGTTGTATTTTGAGATATGCTTTACATGAATTTTTATTTACTAAAGTTATATTTTTATATAAGCTTAATTATGAACTAATTATGAATGGATCATATTCAGATAAACTGGCAAATGACTTAATTGGTACTTTTAGTTAGTAGTGAGATCATTTTCAAATATTTCATTTTCATCCCCTTATTAGTCAAATACATTTCACACTTCCTGAAAAAAAGGTTCTTTTATTATTTTATGATTCTAAGATGAGTGTTACCATATTCCTTACAAATGAAAGCATTGGTCAATTACTTGACAGTTGTAGAATGTGCCACTTTTAAAACATTTTTAAATTAAATACTGTATAGTAAAACACCCAGTTCAGGCATCACCATGAGAGAATTCTTTTTTTCTTCTTTGTTTGACTTTTAATTTTACATGTTTTTATTGGGTCATTTAGCATCTAGTACAAAGAAAATTGACCTGGTAATAAGGAGACACCTGTTCTATTTCTGGCTCTGCCACTGAACTTGTTTTGTATCATTGGGTAAGTCACTGGAACTATGTGTGCCTCTGTTATTCACTGAAATTAACTGAGTGAATTGAGAATAATTTTTCATGTTTGGATATATAATATGAAAGCTATTGCATTGATGCCAGATAAAGTAATTCAAACTATAGGAAAATACTAGGTGAAGAAAGAAGCTTCATTTATTTATGTAGTTTTTATACTTTATGCAAAAAATAAAATTTTCTTAAAGACGGAATATATGGAAACCATATTTCATCCACTTCATAACAATTTCATTTTAACATGTGAGGAAACTATTTTAATAATCTAGAAAGTGTGTATCTAGGGAAATTTTGTGTATAAAAACACAATGCAACATGTGAAAGTTGACATTAGCATAGGTTATTAATAAACTGTGATTGTCCTACCTGATCTTCCTTGAGAAGTAGGTGAATTGAGGGTGGAAACAAAAGCATAGCATGTATAATTTTAAAGTGTATTAGTAAATTTCAGGAGAATATGAATTTTTTTTTTCTAGTGGTTAATCCTGTTAGCAGTATGATTTGTAATGTGATTGTGATGAGATTTAATGTCTGGTTTTCAACAGGTGAAAAAATGTGTTCAAATAATAATAAAATGGTATTAAGCTTCAAAATATCATTTTTTTTCAGTTTTCTATAATTCATACTAAGATTTCTGGTTTTTTTTCTAAGAAAAATTGTTTTGGTCATCTTAGCACTAAGGGACTTAGTTGAATGGAAAGTTTTCATTTATCATTCATATAAAAAGATAAATTTGTTACAGGAAATAATTTTCTAAAGAGCGATAATTTTAATATGTTGGTATTGCAAGTATATTTTGATACAATATGCTTTGCTATATAAATCACTCAAAAATCATGATACACCTATTGGAAGAACTTAAATGTGGTGTTTGATTTTAGAATTTGTGGTATCTGAATCAAAGCTACGTGGGTAAATTAAAATAGAAGATTTTGGCTTTTTGGCATATTGTTCATCTGTGTCAATCATGCTAACTCACTAATATCTTTGAAAGAAATTTTTCCTGAGAACACTGAGTTTAGCAGACATTTTTCTGTTTTCCAGTCACTGTATAAAATGTTATCTGAACTTTTTCACTAGTACTAGGGAAAAAAGTCTTTTCCAAAACATGTGTCATATCTGTTATAGTTGATGCATTTGGATGGATACCTTTTAGCATAAATTTTAATAATCTATAAGTGGCATTTGTAAGAATCTGTTTGAATAAATAGGCATTAAAAAGGAATATGATCAAAGAATATTTATCTACATTGAAGGTTAATTTGGATTTTTAATGCTGAAATGAAGCCATATATTTCAGCTACTCTTCAAATAAAAACTTGTGCTGTATTTATTACTTCATAACATTTTAATAATATTTTGCTGTATTGAAATAATTCAATGAAATATTGGCCTGATGACCATTCTTTGTTTTTTTGTGTGCACTGATTTACTGGGGAAGCATACAAGGAATAGAAATCTGTTGGAACTATTTTATTGCTCTATTTGATAATGACTCGATTAAATTTTTTTCTGCAGATAAATAAAAGTTTGAAAGCATTGTAATAGATTTTTTAAGTGACTATGTGGTCATACAACTAACATTGTTTTTACTAATGGTATCTTTTTTCAGCATTGGTGTTCAGGATTTGCTATACATAAATAATTGTAAACTTTTGGATCCTCTTTATTTCTACACTAACTTTATTTTTCTGAATCTGCTAACCTATAGTAGCATAATCATCTTGCCATCAGTTCTTATGTATTTTTTGTGGAATGCATTTGATTATATCTTCCCTAAAACTGTACACAGGATTCTTTCTCAAAATGATTAGAGGCCCTTTCCTTCAGTGTCACTTTTTACCTTTTGAGTACATCCACTCACTCCCATCTCCTTTGTCTATGTCTGTCCATTACACGATGTGATCACAGAAGAACTGGACTCTACAAGGAGAAGATATGCAGGTCTGTCTCTTCTACTGCTTTTTTTTTTGTTATTATTTTACTTATCTAACTTGTCCCAGAAATGTTTAATCATTTTTTTACTCATTTCATAGTTATTCATTCCTTTGTAATATAAAAAAAAATTAAATCTATGATCATTTTAATTTAGGTATTTGTATATTCAACTATCAACGGTGACTGCTCCAATTAGATGGATAAAAGTAAAATAATTTTTATGTAATATGTATATATATATATGTAATTTTTTCATAAACTGAATAACTAAAGGCAAATGGGATGTATGTGTTTGTGTATGTATGTATAGTTACCCCCCAATATACATACACATATATGTTTGGTTCCAAACATTTTAGACATAAAACTAGTTTTCAATTTTTTAAAAAAAATTCCAAATTTTGATTTCTAACATGAATTCATCAGTGTTCAACACGTGGAGAATACCAAAGACCTAATACCCTAAAAAAGCTATCAATATCACTGAAGAGTTAAGAGATGTGGATAACATCCTCCGTTAATATATCAGTGCAGATTATTCTGACAATATATTCTGCAAAGACATAAAGTTAAATAAAGTTTATTTCAGCTAGATGGTCAGAAAAAGTGTCTTGGAAGAGGTAACACTTGAGCTGAAACTTGAACATTCATTAAATACATGTGGTACTGTTCTAGGTGCTGGAAATAACAGGACACACAAAATAGCTCCCTATCCTTGCAGGCTTTTTTTAGTGTGAATATGTGTACACACACACACACACATACACTATATAAAATGTATGTACATACGTATACACACATGTATATAAAATGTAATGGAATCAGAAAAGATGGTATTCCTTTCCCCTGGGAAGGATAGATATTAAATATAAGAAAGACTTCATGGAGGAATTTAGTTGAATATTAAAAGCTAGAACACTGTTGGCCTCTTGTGTAGAGAGCGTTTCTGGTAGAGGAAGCAGTGTGGCCTGGCTTCACACAAATTTAGGCAAAAATAGGAAGAGACCAGATTTATAAAGATTATGTAGGTTATTGAAACACATAAAGCAACAGAGTAAGTCAGGTATTTGTTTCTAGAAACTTATTTAAAAGATGGACTGGCGTAATATAAGCAGAAATATTATATATGAGGATAGTGTGATTAATCAGTTAAGAAATGATTATGGTCTGAATTAAGGTATAAGTAGAGACAAACAATACACGAGAAGTTACATAAAGATGTAGATCTTACAAGTCTTGGTCACTGATCAGACTGGATATTATTGATGCAGGAATATGAGGCATAGGATAATTTCAGGTGACTAAAGTGTTTGGTGGTACATTTTATCAGGATAGGGAATATAATTTTTACAAGTTTTAGGGGAAAGATGGAGTTCACTTTTAGGATAGGTAAAATGTAAGCCTCATTTAAAATATTCAAGTATAAATATCTAATAGAGGTGATCGGTGGTCTGGAGCTCAGGAGAGAAGTCTGGGCTAGGGACATAGACTAGGGTAGCATATCAGCATTCAAGTGATGCCTTTGGAATTAATGGAATTGTCAGTAGCATATGAAAAATAAGAAGAGAGCCAAGAATCAAAATTTGGGGATCACCAGCACTTATTTACATTTTGTTTTTCGTTTACAATTGACTTTATTAAATGAAATCCAAATCTTCCATTCCTCCCCCTCCATTGTCCCCTCCACCCCCACATACCTTCCTTCTTGTCCCTGTGTTGAAGAGGGGATCTTGGGGAATGAGCTCACTATCTTCTCCTCAACCTCACCTTTACAGCCCACACACCATCTTCCAGGTCTGGGAAATACCCATTTTTACAGCCAGTCTTAGCATGTTTTCTTAATGTGGCATTCCCACCCCAGGCCCAAGAGAGATTCTATGACATATATTACAGAGAGAATTCTATATCAATATATATAAATATTATAGATTATGTACACAAGGGCATGGGCTCAATGCCCACTGCCAGTTCCCCACCCAGGCTTCAGTGTCTCTCTTGGCCTGGGGAAGTGGGAGGGATGTGATGATGGAGAAGGCTACAGGCTGTGTTCAATGACACTAAACAGAACGTGGTGGCATCCTCTGACTATGAGTGTCTTATTTGGGGGATGGAGGAGACTGGGAACAGGGGAGGAAAAGTCGGAGAATGTCGGAGAGGGGGCACAATGGCAGGATTAAGACAGACGGGATGGCAGGGTGGGGGAAAAAAGCCTTGGGTATGGAGCAAGGGTTTGGGGATGTTCACAGCACCTGGCCTCTGATGGAGCACACAGCCAGCCTTCCTGCTGCTGATCTGGGGAGGGTGAAGATGTCCCAAGTGTGGGCAGCACTCCAGAGCCCTGCCATCTTGACACTCAACTCCTAACTCTCCAACCCTAGGACAGGCATCTGAAGAACTAGTCTAAGAGGGGGCTGGTGTCTGAGTGACCCAGTGACCTAGCTGCTCTGAGCCCTGATTCTTGGCAGGAGAGGCCCTGGCTAGAGCAGCTCCAAGGCAGAGCTGACCTTTGGCAGGAGAGTCAGTAACTACAGTGGAGAGAGGGAGGATGCACTTCCTAGGGAGTAACCTAGACACTGGTGGGCGAGGAAGCTGTGCTGTGGATGGATGGAAAAACAAAAGCCAGAAAACTATGTTGAAAATGATTAAAGACAGTAGGATATCCATGAAAGAAGACAAATTTTTAAAAATCTATGAAAGAAGTGATTCTCAATAAAGGGGTATAATCAGCAGTGACAAATTCCAGACAAGACAAATATATTGTTAAATGGTAGGACTAGTCAATAATGATATTTTTCTCCTTGATTCAATAAAGTTATTGTGGGTAGAAAGCAAATAGAAGAGAAGGGAAAGGAGATGGAAAAGAAAAAAACCTGAAGGCAGTTAATGTACACTAGGCTTCTTGATGGCTTGGGAATTAAAAGTTAAGAATACCCTGGGGAATGAGACAAGGAGCTCACCAAGGATATCCTGGAAAATGGTTATAGTTTAGCTTAGTGGAGACCCTAAATTTGTGATGGCATTGGTTCTCTAAGAATGTGTAATGATTGGCTCATTAGCACACTTCAGATATAGTCATTTATCATTTGGATCACAGTTGGAACTTTCTGGGCAATTATGTAGAAAGAAGAGGAGACTAGAGATGTTAAGGGTGGATGGCAAGGAAAGTAGTTGAAGTAATGTTTGAATGGATTGGGAAGGATTAACTGTTTTAAATCATGTTGTCATGTGAAATCATGCAGAAGTTTTGATGAATTGGGAAAGAAGGTCTCAATGAAAGAACTGAACTTTGTGATGATAGCTAAGGCAATAGAAGCAAATTGAGCAGATTATTATCAGAGAGAATTTAATAATCTTCAGAATTTTCAGATGTTGAACAATTCCAGATAATGTGAAGATACAATGTTTCTTTCTGAGAGTGATTTTCCAAGATAGAACATAGATTACAGTTTGGAAATTCAAATAAAGCAACAAATTTTATTTTATTTTTATTTCTTTTTAATTGTACATTAGGTTCTGGGGTACATGTGCTGATCATGCAGGATTGTTGCATACCTGGCAAGGTGGTTTGCTTCCTCCATCCTCCCGTCACCTGTAACTGGCATTTCTTCCCACGTTATCCCTCCCAGCTTCCCTAGCTCCCACTGTGCCTCCCTTAGTCCCCACCACAACAATGCCAGTGTGTAATGCTCCCCTCCCTGTGTCCATGTGTTCTCATTGTTCAACACCCGCCTATAAGTACATGCAGTGTTTGGTTTTCTGTTCTTGTGTCAGTTTGCTGAGAATGATGGCTTCCAAATTCATCCATGTCCCTACAAAGGACATGAACTCATCCTTTTTAATGGCTACATAGTATTCCATGGTGTATATGTGCCACATTTTCTTTGTCCAGCCTATCATTGATGGGCATTTGGGTTGGTTCCAGGTCTTTGCTATTGTAAACAGTGCTGCAATTAACATACTTGTGCATGTGTCTTTATAATAGAACGATTGATAATCCTTTGAGTATATACCCAGTAACGGGATTGCTGGGTCAAATGGAATTTCTATTTCTAGATCCTGAGGTATTGCCACACTATCTTCCACAATGGTTGAACTAATGTACACTCTCACCAACAGTGTGTAAGTGTTCCTTTTGCTCCACATCCTTTCTAGCACATGTTGTCTCCTGATTTTTTAATGATCGCCATTCTAACTGGGGGAAAGCAACAAATTTTAATGCTAACATTTTTATACACACATTGAAATTATTGAGGGCCTCAGCTTGATATATATGTGAAGGAAATTGCCTGGACTATAGATGGTAGCAGCAAGGAGGAATAATGGTATGAACATAAAAGACATAGACTTCACATAAGATTAGAAAAGTAAACATGTGGAAGCAGCAATGCATAACAGGAAGAATGCTTCTGGGCTTCTGTGGTATACATGTAAGTTCAAGGATTTTGAGCAGCTTCCCCTCAGAATGTTTCTGAGAGAGATAGTATTCTTGAAGGGTCAACATTCTGTTCATGATAAAAAGGGAAATGAACATTCTCTGATGAAGCTAAGGGATATATTGTATTTAAGTAAAAGGAATATGGTTTCAGACTACAGTGGAAAAGATTAGGAGGCCTCTAAGCAGTGCAGAAAGAATTAGAGAAAGAAGCTCAGGATAGTAGGGTTTTGACAGTACTGACTGGAAAATATTAAGAAAGGAATAAGTGCAGGGGAAAGGAAGGAATGAACCATGTAATTTAGTAGTGGCAAAACAAGGAGAAAAATAAGTAATTTAAGCTTAGAGGGGGAAGAAAATTCAGAGGTACAACTTAGAGGTCGGGCAAAGGAATCTTCATGATATGCATAAAGGCAGAGGAAAAGGACTTGGTTGAGAGAATTTGAAGACTCCAAAGAGGAGAGGATTAATAATGGAAGCAACTTTTCTTACAAAAAAAAAAAAAAAAAAAAAAAAGGTACCTAGGATATCTGTTGAATGTTTAAATTTATGGAGTCGGCCGGGCGCGGTGGCT